GGGGGCATGATATTTGAGCACAAGAGAAGCTGCAGATGAAGATGAGATAGTTTTGTTTGGGGAACCGTGCAGAATTCACTGACAATGCCTTTGGTTGTCTATGATCGAAGACTGTGGATGAAAAGGACCTTTTCTCCCCAGAAAGCCTTTGTCTGAACTTCAGAGATCTGAGAAGTTTCAAATATTGGAATGAACGGACTAGCAATCGCAGTCTCTGTTGCTCCCAGGTTTCCAGACATCTGGAGATTATTAAAATTTCCCGAAAGAGTGGGGATTTTGGACATAAGCAAACTGTTGCTGCTGTTTTGTGCGGTGTCTAATGCTTGTGATACTATGCCAGCCAATGGCATAGAATTTTCAGTCCTTGGCCGTTTACCAACTGCCCTTTGCTTTCTTCCGCAATATTTCCTGGTATTGGAGATGGATCTTGTCCCTCGTCCTAGCTGATAAGTGTTTGCACCATTAGTAAGGGAGCTTAGAACTGGTCCCTGCTGATAAGTGTCTCCAGTTTTGAACATGGAGCTCATCACTTGCACCTGCGGATAAGTGCTTCCAGCTTGCTGATAAGTGTTTCCAGTATTCGCACTGCAGCTTATCACTTTCTCCTGCTGATAAGTGCTTGCTTCCATTTCCACAAGTGCATTTTGTGTCCCGTTGTATCCTAGGATCTCTTCTAAAGTTGGAGATGGTAAAGCAGCGTCAAAATCTGGAAGTGAATCATGAGGAGGATTTGGAAAAGCCGGCTGTGATTGAGAAGAAAATGCAGTTTCAAGTTCCTTCATCACCAAGAAAATAGTTTTATGATAATTGTTAGAGAAAATTTAGGATGGAAAAGAAAATTTCATGGATGTTATGACGCGATTCAATTTTTAATTCTGTGACATAAGAAAGAAAATACAATGTAAATGGATACATTTAGACGAATATAACATTCTAATTCAGACTTAATTTTATATTCAATTCAAATTAATTATTTTCATGATTCCTCCTTTAACAAGAATATGAATACATCATCATGAAGTTGGTTTCATCATGTACCATATCAAACATGTAAACATAAAAAAAATTCTGAAACATCAAATAATTAAGATTTAAGAATAGAATAGAAACAAAATATAGACCTAAGTAATGCAACATAAGAATCTTAGAAACATATCTTTGAGTATTAGTATATGATTCATCTCTTACCATTCCAATTAGCCCAGAATTGCATTCTGCAGAAGTATCTTTCTGACCAAGGGGATCGCAAAATATTTTCTGAAGGAAAAAAATATCCTCCTCTGCAAAGAAAAGAGAGACTAAATTAATTAGGAACTTAGTCATAAATTTCATAAAACTTAAAAAGGAAAAGAAAAACATAAAAGTATGCTGCTAAATATGTTAGTGTAGAGAGTAGAAGCAAAACAAGCATGAAAATCAATGGGTCTAATAATTGCTCGAAGAATAGTCTAGGACTCTTCATCAAATTCATTTTTGAATATTACAGATAAGACAGAACCATTTGCAGCTTTGCTTCGTACAATGTCTATTAATGAAAAGGAAGATTTGAGAGATTTTTCCCAAAATATTTGCCATAAATGAGATCATATCATAGTGGACAAGTGAGACAGTAAATCAATTCATAAGAGGCTTGAAGTAGCATTGGTAAAAAGTAATGAAAACAAATATTTGACAAGATTATTTGTGCATGAGATTTATGGAGCATTTAGATTAAGTAGAGGGAAAATAAAGTAGATTAGTAAGAAACGGTGGATTATCATACTTCATTCTCTTAAAACTTGTGTGTGACTGGATAAGCACAAACAAGCCCACACTATAAGGTAGAGACAATGCTAAGCTTTAAAATCATATTAAATTTAAACCAACTATATAGCATGATAATAGACGGAATATTTCAACAGATATATAAGTCAACACAAATCCTTATACTTGTCAATGAGAGATTAACATCTATTAATAAGTGGGAGACTCCCTATATTGCTCACAGAATCATTTGGTCCATGACTGTTCATACAAGTTCCCTCCCATTTCTCTACATCCATTCATGTAGAGTTCTTTTGTTTTTTTAAAGAAGAAGATATGATCAAGATGAGAAAGAAAAGTAGAGCCAGGAAGGAAGAGAAATCCTCGCCAGAGAAACAGAAAGAAAATTTGGAGCTTATCCTCAAGAGATGTTCATCAAGGCTTAAAGAGATTCTCATTCCAAATCTGACTTACAATAGCTCCTTATGCCTGCATTTTACTCGAAAAGGATTCAAAGTTTATGCTCAACTGATACAATACATCAACAGTCGTCTAAGTATTATTACATTTAGTTAGATGACAACAAAAGTTTTTCAACATCAAGTTAGCCAGAAATGTAGTGTGCTACTGTTGTCAAAATTGGGCCACATTAATTTTTGCCAAGGTGGCATGAATACAAGACTAGACGCATTGATTAAATTTGTTTCTGAATATAATTTTATTTTTTTATAATTTACTATATTGCTTTTGTTGTCATCATTGCCAGTTTTCTAATTAGATTAGATTTTTTTAATTAAATAGTTTTCAGTTTGGACTTGAAGTTCTTTAGGATTTTACTATTTCTTTTTCTTTTGAGATCAGTTTTTCTTTTATTAAATATCAATATTTAATGAAAGAGTTACATAGGTGGTTAATAAAAAATTTTGTACTTCAAATCTTCATAGTTGGTGAAAACCTAATGAACTTGTTTACCTAGCTTTAACTATCGCACTAAGTTAATTTTGTGATCTCATTTTGTGGGTTTCTGAATAGAGAACTAGTAAAGGTGAGAAATTGTTAATACTTCATTTCTAATCTTCTTTATAACTAATCGGAATAAGATTAACCTAAAATCATATGGTGATAAATAGAGTACCTAATAGATATATAAATCATTGAACATTGGGATTTGACATTCCTAATGTTAACCTGGTAGAGTGCTCTCAGCTTCACGCTACTTACACTATGAACTCAACATAAGACAATTCAATTCAACAGCTTGAATATGCAAAACAAAAACCTTTTTTATTCCAAAATGCTGAAACATAGCATAGTGATAGCTTTTCAAAACCATAAACTTTCAAGGCTGCTTCCCAAACTTTCTACTCCGTGTGCATTTCATAAAACAAGACAGAAGCTAGATACACCAAAAAGAGCATCCCTCATAACTTTTGGAAAAAAAAAAGCAAAACAATCCTTCAAAGACGACCAAGTTCACAGACATCTTTTCAAGAAGATTTGCCTTTTGAAACAAATACCAATTGGTCTAATTCATTGACCCACCTGGAAGGTCAAGATGAAACTCAGTGTCATCATGGATTAGAGGGGTTCCCATTTTGTTTCCCATGGCAGAGACTAGTGATGAGTTTGCTGCTTCAGGCCCATAGGTAGCAGCACAAGCCTCTGGGAATCTCAGAATGAGAACTGACGGATGCTTCTCACTCCTGAAGGAAATGTCTACTTTGCTGGCATCTGGATTTGCCTGCAATTTTGCACAGTTCAGCAGTCAGCAGCGAACTGGAATCGATGTAAAAGAGTTACTAGCATCTAAAGAAATGAGCACAAATTATAAGACATCTCTTACCATTCCAACTAGGCCTGAATTGCATGCTGCAGAAGTATTTTTCTGATCAAGGGGATCACAAAATATTTTTCTAAGGAACAAAATGTCCTCCTCTGCCAAAAAAAAAAGAGAGAGAGAGACTAAACTAGTTAAGAACTCGGTCATAAATTTCATGAATTTTAAAAAAGAAAACATAAAAGTATGGTGCTAAATATGTTAGTAGAGTCTAGAAGCAAAACAAGCACGAAAATCCATGAGTCTAATAACCGTTCAACAAATAATCTAGAACTTGTCATCAAATTAATTTTTGAACATAACAGATAAGACAGAGTCATTTGCCAGTTTTGCTTGTTCGTACAATGCCTATTAATGGAAAGGAAGATTTAGGAGATTTTTTCTAAAATTTTTGCCATAAATGAGATCGTACCACAGTGGACGAGTGAGACAGTAACTCCATTCATAAGAGTCTCAAAGTAGCATTGACGAGGAATAATAAAAACAGATATTTGACAATATTATTTGTGCATGAGCTTTATAGAGTATTTCGATCAAGTTGAGGGAAAATAAAGTAGATTAGTTAAATAAAGTAGATTATCGTACTCCATTTTCTTAAAACTTGAGCATGAGTGGATAAGCATAAACAAGGCCAAGCTATAAAAGGTAGACAACCCAGAGCTTGTTTTTTGAGATAAAAAGAATGCACTATAATTATATGACACCAAGAGAGCGTCACCCATTACAAAATATTTATATCTCAGTTAGTAAATAAATGATATTCCCAAAATCTTCCAACCAATAAATGTCATGACCCAATATTAAAACTCTATTTTTCTTTCTTTCCACATCACCCAAAAAATAAAATGAACAAGATTTACAAATTTTTTCCTTGTACATATCTCATTTCATGCCCGTAATTTATCTGTAACTGTTCAGGCAATAACCCAGTTAATCCCCAGCAGACCATAAACAATTGTCCAACTGTTGTACATCACTGAACACCAGAGAAGAATGTGATTATAAGATTCAGCAGCTTTCTTGTACATATAACAACCATTAACCAGAATTTTACTCCTTTTCATCAACTTATCAATGGTTAGGATACATTCTCGTTCCACTTCCCATGCAAAGAAAGTTATTCTTGGGAGTGTCTTAACCTTCCAAATCTGATTAACCAGGAAGCTAAGCTTTAATGTCATGTTAAATTTAAACCAACTAAACAGCATGATAATAGATAGAATATTTCAACAGGTATATAAGCCAACACAAATCCTTATACTTGTCGATGAGAGATTAACATCTGTTAATAAGTGGGAGACTCCGTACATTGCTCACAGGATCATTTGGTCCATAACTATTCATACATTTTGCCTTCTATGTCTCTATATTCGTTCATGTAGTGTTCTTTTTTTCTATTTTTTTTATAAAACAAGATATTATTAAGATGAGAAAGAAAAATACAGCCAGGGAGGAAGAGAAATCCTCGCCAGAGAAACAAAAAGAAAATTGGAGAGTTAGCCTCAAGAGATGTTCATCAAGGCTTAAAGAGATGTTCATTTCAAATCTGACTTATAATAGCTCCTTAGCCCTGCATTTTGCTCAGAAAGGATTCAAAGTTTAGGCTCAACTGATACAATACATCAACAGCCTTTTAAGTCCTACCACATTTAGTTCGATGACAACAACAGTTCTTCAACATCAAGTTAGCTAGAAATCTTATGTGCTACTGTTGCCAAAATTGGGCCACATTAATTTTGCCAAGTTGGCATGATTCATCACTAGATGCATTAAATTAAATCTGGTTACAGAATATAATTCTATTTTTTTCTAGTTTACTGTATTGCTTAATTGTCATCATTGCTATTTTTCTACTTGGATTACATTTTTTCAATTAAAGAGTCCAGTTCGGAGTTGAAGCTCTTTAGGATTCTACTATTTCTTTTTCTTTTAAGGTCAAATTTTCTTTTATTAAATATTAATATTTTTATGAGCTAAAAAAGAGTGATATAAGAACTGGATAAAAAATTTTGTACTTCAAATCTTCATAGTTGGTGAAAACCTAGTGAACTTGTTTACCTAGCGTAACCATTGCACTAAGTTAATTTTGTGATCTCATTTTGTCAGTTTCTGAATAGAGAACAAATAAAGGTGAGAAATTGTTAATACTTCATTTCTAACCTTCTTTGTAACTAATCGGTAATAAGATTAACCTAAAATCATATGGTGATAGATAGCATACCTACTAGATATATAAACCATTGAACACTATGATTTGACATTCCTAATATTCACTGGTAGAGTGCTCTCAGCTTCACGCTGTTTGCACTATGAACTGAACATAAGATAATTCAATTCAACAGCTTGAATATGCAAATCAAGAAACTATTTCTTTTCTCCAAAATGTTGAAACATAGTACATTGATAGCTTTTCAAAACCATAAACTTTCAAGTCTACTTCACAAACTTTCTACCTCAGTTTACATTTCATAAAACAAGACAGAAGCTAGCTACACCAGAAAGAGCATCACTAATAGCTTTTGAAAAAAAACAGAAAAGAAAAAACTATCCTTCAAAGACGACCAAGTTCAAAGACCTTTTTTCCAAGAACATTTGCCTTTTGAAACAATAGCAATTGGTCTAATTCATTGACCCACCTGGAAGGTCAAGATCAAATTCAGTCTCATCATGGACTAGAGGGGTTCCTGTATTGTTTCCCATGGCAGAGACTAGTGATGAGTCTGCTGCTCCAGGCCCATAGATAGCAGCACAAGCCTCCGGAAATTTCCGGGACAGCAGAATGAGAAATGCCGGATGCTTCTCACTCCTAAAGGAAATGTCTGCTTCACTGGCATCTGGATTTGCCTGCATTTTTGCACAGTTCAGCTGTCAGCAGCACGGTGGAATCAGTGTAAAAAGTAACTTGCATATGAAGAAATGAACACCAAATCGTAAGAATGTGAAGAGCTTTAGGCCATGTTTAAAACAAATTCATAATTGTAAGAATCGTTCACAAATTACTTAGTTCAATTAGCAGATAATATAAATTGTATTATAATAATTTTTGTGGAACTCAAAACATGCTTTAGTTTCCTGAGAAATTCCAATATAAGATCCTTTTTCTATTTTGGGGAGAACTTTTGCAAATAAAATCTAAATTCTATTAGTTCTCTAAGTCTATCACAAATATAGCCTTAATGTAGCCATTGAAAGATCAATAGGTCATCCATTTGAACAATGCATTTATTTAACATGATCTGCTAAAGAAAATACCTAAGAATTTCAATGCTCATAGGAAAGTATTCCAGCTGAAATATGAAGAAGTGAATTTGTATTCCATCTGTATTCCATCTCTATGTGAATGTTGGTTATATTGAACCAGTGGAAGGTTCTCAAACAATCCCCTACATTGTTCTCCGACAATTTCTCCTCCGGGAAAGGCATGATAGTCCTCTTCGCTACCTCAATTAGGAAGATTCGGACAAGGTTACTTTGTCCTTCTATATAGACGCAATCTCTGTCTGAATTCCCCCACTTCATTGAAGTAGGGAGAGCCTCCTTCCCACCATCCCGGCCTACAAAACCATGCATATTCTTGTGTTCTCTATATAAAATGTCCTGATTTTTTTTCATTCAAAGTTGTCATTTTGAATGAAACACAACCTTTATGCTTAATGTTTCCCTCTCTCTGTCTAAAACTTTCTCTCTTTAATAACCTCCCTTCTGTATAACCCTCCCTAAACTAGCGAAAACTTTCCTCTCCTCTTGCATCTTCAACCTGAACCCTATAAGTGCCATCGTGAGTACCTATTCTCTTCAGGACCTTAGTTACCAATATACAGGCAGAAAGACTAAAAGATTCGTGCTTATTGGTAGCAAATCTTTCAATATCACCTGCGACGGAAAAAACTAGATGGAATTCGAACCAGCGAAAACAGTAGAGGAAATAAAGTGTCCATTACACTAAATAAAGAAGAAGTCAGCTGGATTATTGAAGCTCTAAGCGATTTCTACTCGAAGAAAGGTGGTAATTCATGGGGAACATACAAAAAAAGTCATCATCACCATCTTTTCTTCGTATTGGTCAGGAATGGAAGAGGTAGATGCCATGTGTTGTCGAAGGAAAGAGGTAAATCAGTCAAGGATTTTTATTCCCAATGATTTCAAGGCAGAAGGCTGGTGGCGCATCATGAAAGCCATATTCGATCTGGCTGAGGTCCCTCTGGTTAACCCTTTTAAAGATGGCGCACCAGCCACAATGGACGCATCCGTCCTTAACACAATGAAGCCGTCAGCAACGATAAACACTGAAAGGACAACTGTTGTAAAATATTGTGAATCTCAACACTGTCAGATGATTCTCTGCTGCCCCAATTGTAACCACGGTGTGACAGTTGAAACAGTGCAGTGGGTGGCAAAACTTTTGCTCGAGTAGTGAGCTCAAGCAACGACTCCCACAAACAGGTGGAGAAGAAGATACCCGAACCAGAAGTCTTCGAAATTCAAATTTCAAAAGGCTGACCTCTCTGACCCGCCTACCAAAAATCAAATGCCAGATGGTCAAACTGGAATCAGAGTCGGCTGTACAGGAAAAGCAAAGCTCCATTGGCCTGAACCATGCCCAGAAAAACCAGTCTGATCAATGTCTATGGGCCAAACAGCTAAGCCCAAATATACATGGGAGGAGAAAGGAACCTACCCCTTTTAGACTCTGACAACAAATCGCTCAGAACAGATGCTTTCCGGGCTCTGGTTGAAATGGCTTGGTCTAGTTCTGGAAACAGTGGTACTGCCAGTTTCAAGCTTGCCAAGAAGCTTAAATATTTGAAGGATGAAATAAAAAGTGCGACATTAGTGCCGGCAGGGCTGAAGAATTCGAAATCAGAGGCATCATGATGGAAATTGAACTCATGGATAATGCTGAAATGATTTCAAGTATCTCTGATGATGACAGAGAGAAATAATGCTTTTAAAGATTAAACTGGCTAACAAATTAAATATGAAAGCCATTTCATGTAAGCAAAAAGTTAGAGAGCAATGGCTCAAAAATGGAGATAGAAGTACAAAATATTTTCAATACTTAGCAAATGATCAAAGAAGAAGCAATTATGTGGAAGAGCTCCTTGTTGACAATAACAGTTTTGAGAGAAACACTACCATGAGAGCAGCAGTTAAAGCATATTTCCAGAATTTATACACTGAAGATTTCAGCATAAGACCCAAAACTAGATAACCTACTATTTTCCAGAATTGATGACCTTGCTAAAATACAGATGGAAGCAGATTTCAGTAAGGAGGAGATTTATGACAGCCTTCACGCTTGCGATGGTGATAGGGCTCCGGGACCGACGGCTTCAACCTCAAGTTCTTACAGGAATAATGGAGGGTGATAAAACATGATTTTCTTGAATTTTTAAATGAATTCCACAAAAACTCCTCATTTGTGAAATCAATAAACTCCACATTCCTGATTTTAGTCCCCAAAAGAAAAATGCTAAGCAGATTAGTGATTTCAGACCAATGAGCCTCGTTGAGAGTGTCTACAAAATTCTTCCAAAAGTATTGACAAACCACTTATCTAAAATCCTCAACTCAATCATTGGGGAAAATCAGCAAGTCTTCGTCCAAGGGAGACAGATAACAGATGCAATTATTATGACAAATCAAATCGTTGATGAGGTTTACAGAGAAAAAAAAAAAAAGCCAAGGTATTCTATGTAAACTTGATATGAAAGAGTGTTTGATCATGTATCTTGGACCTTTATTGATTACATGCTCGATAAATTGGGTTTGGGGCAAAAATGGAGGGGATGGATTCGCACTTGCATCTCCTCTACCAGCTTTGCCATCTTAATAAATGGTGGTCCGCCTACTTTCTTTAATGCTTACAGGGGTTTGAGACAAAGGTGATTCCCTTTCCCCTCTACTCTTTATTATTGTCACGTAAGCTCTTAACAAATTGGTTGATAGAGCTAAAAATATTCCGTTGATGAAGGGTATCTTGGTGGGCAACAGGGACAAACAAATGGAAATTTCACACGTCTTCTTTGCTGATGACACTCTATTCTTTCGTCAACTGGACACCAACTCATTTCTAAACCTGAGATGCATCCTCCTCTGCTTCCAAGTTGTCTCTGACTTAAAGGTTAATTATGACAAATCTGAACTAGTGGAATTTTGCATCTGACTGTCCTGAATCTTCTTTCGCCAAAGTACTGGGATGTAAAGCTACTGTTTGTCCATCAAATACTTGGGCATCCTCTTTGGTGCTAAATGCAAAGAGAGCAGCTGTTGGGAGCTAATAATTGTCATTTTCCAAAACAGATTGGCCAATTGGAAAAGGAACTTTCTGTCCAAAGGTGGTAGGCTCACTCTCATTAAAAGCACCCTATCCAATCTTCTCAATTTCTTACCTCTCGGTGCTCACCATCCTGGCTAATGTGGCCAAAAAATTGGAAGCAATGTCGTTTCCTTTGGGGTGATAATGATAACAGTCGTAAATTCCATTTGGTCAGTTGGGAAGATCTCAAATAACCTGGGAGGAGGGGGGGGCTGGGAGTTAGGTCTCTTTTGACACTTAACAAAGCTTTGCACGGCAAATGGGTCTGGAAATTCTGAAATGATATTAGATGCCTCAAAAAAAATATTATTGAATTCAAGTGGTTTAGCAACGGGTTATATGATCTGACCATATTGGAATGCAGCACCTATGGAAGGAGTTTATGGAAAAGCTTCATGCAACATAACCATATTATTCAGAATTGCTACTTGGGTCACTGGCAATGGAAATAAAGTTCATTTTTGGCATGATGTGTGGTTTGGGATTGCAAATTCCAAATCCGTTTCCGCCTTATTTTTGCAATTGCACGGGACAAATATATGCTGGTTGAGGAAGCCTTTGAGGGCAACAATTCCTTACCAGGGAACGTGGTTGTTAACCGTAACCTTCAAGACTGGGAATTGGAGGAATACATTAATTTAACCCGGATTCTTGCCACCATCCAACTGAGTAACAGAGAAGATAGACTTAACTGGAAGCCGAACAAAAATTGTATGTTTTCTGTCACCTCTCTTTCGAAGCATCTGGAGGACTCCTCTGCTGGAAATGAAATTGATTTCCCAAATAAAATGATTTGGAAATCTCAAGCCCCACCTAGAATTTCTTTCTTTGCTTGGGAAGCTGCCAAAGAACGAATTTTGACAATCGACAATCTCATGAAGAGAGGATTCCACTTAGTAAAAAGACATTCTTTATGCAAATAAAATCTGGAAACATGCAGTCACCTTTTACTTTGGTGTCCTATCAAATATGGACTTTGGATCGAGATTTTCAGCCTCATGGGTATTCAGTGTGTTATTGTTGGTTCTGTGAAGGTCGAGTTTCTTGCTTGGCAGGGTCTTATTGCTAAAAACAGATGTTTCAGACTAATCGCACTAACAAATCTTCTGGATCGTATAGAAAGAAAGGAATATTAGAGTTTTTGATGGTCTTGAGGGGAATTTCGCTAACATCAAAAACAAATGATTATATCTTTTCGGTTCTATTATTTTAGGATACAACCTTGATAGTTTAAATGATTTTGGTCGCATTGAAGATACTTTTACTGATCTGTAAATTTTTGTCCATGGGCAGTGCCCCCTTGATGTCTACATGAATATATTTACAGTTTCTTTTATTAAAAAAAAAAAAGAAAAAGCATATGTAGCTACATTTCGTCCAAAAATGTCAATGCTTTGGAATAGGAGTTATGAACATAATAAAAGGAGGTTTTGCTGAATAGAAATCAATTGTTATAGAATTTAACATAAATTGTTCCAGTTATAAATCAAATATGAAAACTACAATTATATTCTATATATTCAGTAATATCCACGGAAAATATAATAAACTCTGAAACAAACAGGCCGTACTGATATGAATCATGTTGGCAATATGATGAATCCTTCCTTTGATTTGGTTAATAATCAATTCTGCTTTATGATTCCACCACGAATGCTTGTATATCAATATATTTAATTAACTACTTGATCTACCATTATATTAAATCAATCTAGTTCAGGATTTATCAACTGTCTGTAGAATCATGCTGTATATTAATACTAGGAAAAGACTGTAATTATATTGTAATAGAAGAATCATTCATACCGCAATGAAAACTTCTTTTAAGTTCGGAAACCTCTTGGCAGATAGCACAGAGAGAGACACAGAGCACTACATATGGAAAGAAGCAAGCTTCAGTACATATAGTCAAGAACATCAGCCAATTAACCAATCATAACCAATTAAAAACAAAAATAATATAAATATTTGTGTACTACGATAAATCTCTCTAAGCAAAATTGTTAAGCTTATAGCAGGAGCTCAAACACAAAGAAAGCATAAAACTCCAAAACCGAGTTAGGGAATGCAAGTTAAATTAGAAAGAAGCAAGCAAAGGGATGATGAGCAAATTATATACGAGGGGATAGGGTTTCCAATATTTAATTTTATACTATAAACTATTGCTGAAATACCTTGTTGAAATAATTGATTATCACCAATTTTTCCAAAAACTAATAAACTTATGCAATCTATTGTTTATGCTCTGTGTGTGTGTGTGCGTGTCTGATGTTTACAGAATTTCAAATAAAAACTCCTCTAGTGAGAGGGTAGTTTTTAGTAAGGATTTCTTAATTCTAACCGATATAGAAACGAAGAGACTAACTCATCCAACAAAAATATATAAATCTTACAGATAAATATATGTGTGTGTGTGTGTGTATGTACTATGTATGTATGTATACCTGAATGAAGAGCCGAGCAACTTGTTCAGCATCAGCTAGTACGTTTTCAATTTGTTCAGAGGGATAATCCCCAGTTGGAGATTTAATGATCTTTGGAACAAACACTGGTGTGACCAGAGGAAACGGCTTGCTTCCTGCAACCAAAATGCAGTGCTTCTGCTCTTCATTGAACAATTCGTCTGCAGTTCCGTGGGCCTTCTTTGGCAACATCTGGTTATAAAATTAGTGCATCAATACCAAGATCATCATTAACCGATCATTACAAGAGTATTCTATTCGTGTGTGCGTGTGTATATATATATTTATATAGATACTGGAACTAAATGTATATGTTTATATAGAGAGATACCACTAGGGTCTCAGCGAGGCCTTCAGCAATGGCAGATTCATAATGGCCTCCACCAAGAAAGCTGAGACCTGCAAGCCATTCGTGAAATATTTCCACATTTCTCGTCCAGCCACTTGCTTGTACCAAGCAAGCTGCAAAGAAGAAAAGGAAGAATAACGAGAAGCTTCAGTGTATGAGATTGTGAACAGAGAATTTTCCATCAGGTACAATTTTGCTGAAAATGGCTGTGACAGAGGGCGGGGAATTTTCAGCAAATAAAAAAAGAGTGGAGGGAGAGAAGGTGTATTTAGGGATCCCACTTCTTCTTTTTTTTTTTTATTAAAAAAAAAACCGGTAATTAAATTATTATTTCTATTTTAATTAAAAAAATTTAACAGTCATAAATTTTCTTTTACACGAATGAAAGAAAAAATAATTCATTTAATTTTTCAAAAAATAAACTTACTATTTAAGTAAAATAAAAATTATAAATTTAAAAATAAAAACTATTACCATTCTTATAATATCAATATCATTGCTCTATTCATAATAATATAATATTATTAAATTTTAAATTATTAAATAAAATATTACAGATTAATAAATATTATAAAATAATAAAATTTTAATTTTTAAATTAAATATTATAATATACTCGATAAGTGAAAAAAAAAATAATTAAAAAAAAGCTTATAAGTTTTTAAAATAATTAAATACGTGATGAGTAAAAAAATAATAATATAAAATTTTTCTATAACTTTATAAAAAATATTTTTATTATAAAGACCTGTGTATGTATACATTTACATATATGTAATCATAAGAAAGAATTAAAAAGGGAGAGAATGGATACGTACGACTGTGAGGTCCATGAGTAGTGAACATGATAACTCCAAATTCATTGACTGTGCAAGGTGGGCCCTGTACATATAGTCAATAAGTACCAACAATAAGAATAATTTTTTATTTATTTAATTTGACATTCAATATATTTTTACCAGTTTTTAATTTTAATATTTAAATATTTTTAATTATTTTAAATAATTTATGTGAAAAATAAATTGGAAAAATACATACCTGGCTTGTTGATGCACCACAGGTATTGAATTCCCTGAATAAAACCTCACCAAATTGAATTATTAAATGAATCATATGAAAATCAGTAAGCTTGACTGCTTTCTAGAACGACATCAAAAACCGTCCCTAAAAGGGCAAAAAGTGCCGCTACGTGACAATAAAGTCGTTATTAATATTGTTTATCTGTACTTATATGAATACTTACGTTGAATTTTTATACACGTGATATATAATATGTATAGTATCAATGTTACTTGTGCAAAAATGCTATATCAACATCCACATAAGTGTAAATTAAAAATGTTAAGTAGTTATTGTGATTTGTATTGACAAACTGATTTAATTGCATAAAATCAAAAAGTTTAAAATTGAATACGTATAAAATATTTTGATTTCGTACAATGTTATAAAATTTAAAAATGAACCGTTTGAAATTTTCGTAAAAAAACAAATAAATCAAGGTCTTTTAAAAATATATATAAATATCTTCTAATTTGGTTAGATACTACAATATATGTCACGACTTTGCAAAAAAAGTATATCAATATCTACATAAGCATAAACTAACAATTTTTTTTTTGTAATTTATACGGAGAGAATGTCTTAATTCCATAAAATCAAAAGATTTAATATTGAATAAGCACAAAATATTTTGATTTAGTACAATTTCATAAAATATAAAAGTAAATCGTTGAATGTTTTCGCAAAACAAATTTTAAATCAATCTCTTTCAAGAAAAAAATACGAATCTCTTCTATTTAGCTAGATACTGCAATATACGTCATGTAAATGTGATGTGTGCACAAATAATATATCGACATCTACTTAAATATAAACTAACAATATTAAATATGTTTTGTAATCTATATTAACGGAATGATTTAATTGCATAAAATCAAAAGATTCAAAACCGAATAAATACAAAATATTTTAATTTTATACAATTCTATAAAATCTAAAAGTGAATCGTTTGGTATTTTAAAAAAAAAATTTATAAAAAGTCATTGATGCGTAGATTATATAATATAGATATAACTAAGTCATTCTCTTGTTGTTGCAGAAGAAAAAGAAAAGTTAAAAAATGATCTTTTAATCTAGATTATATGTAATTGAAATTATTATCATTTGACTTCCAAAAGTTCATACATGTAAGTATAATCCTATGTATAGGTGGTCAAAATTTGAAGTGAACACTTTTAAACAATAAGAAAATGTTATATTCAAACATTTTTACAGAGTGATTTTTCAACACATAAGTCATCAAGATATACAGTAAATACATATATTGAATCATTTACATTTTTTGTATATATATATATATATAAAGTAAAAATAATCCAAGGCAGAAATCAACAAAATGTTTTGTATGAATTATCATATTATACTTTCAATGATTGATATTAATCAAGCAATTAAAAGAACTCTATAAATTAATTAGTCTTTTTTTCTTAATTAACTATTTCCCATCAATTTATATTTCATCTTTTTTTATTTTGTACTCATACATGTATATGTGCGTGTATACACAAACAATTATATGTTTTCTCATGAAAATCTTTTCATCTTTCTAGTAATTAAATATTCCCCCCTCCCCCACCAACTTTCAGACCATTTTCATTTTCAATTGACTCATCTACACACAGATATATATCACATGTAATATATATACATATATAACGTAGATATATATGTCACCTTTTGTCACAAATAGTCAACTACAACCACAGAAAGACCCGAAGACTCAAAACCCACATGAAACAACTCCCTAAATGGAGTTCTCATGCATGAAACTTCAAGCAAACACTTTCGCAGAATATATATACACACACACATATATATATATATACCCCGCGGATTCAACTGAAGAAAGGTAAGCATACACGAACTAATTATCATGACTTATCATTTTCTGATCAGGCAAAACAAACAAGCTATCTAGTGAAAGTTTTACCAACTCCAGAACAATAATGCCGAGAAAAACCCAGAAACCATTTTATGATCAAGCAGCCCGATCTACTAAACCCAAACAACAAAACATCATAAGAAGAAGAAGAAGCAGCAGCAGAAACGAAAGATCGGAAGAAGATATAAACCTAACGATCTTTTTGATGATGTCGTCGACAATGGTGGGCCAAGTAGGAGCCATGGAGACTGTTCCATCGACGGCAATAGCAAGCCGCTTCCTTACCATCAGTCCCCGATCTACGGCGGCCGCCATGGATAACTGGTATGTTCTTCTGTAACTTTTTTCTGTGTCGAAAAATGAGGTTGTTTGGAAGAAAAGCAGAGAAGAGGAGCAGTTTTGGTTCTTCTCGAGTTCAGTGAGGCTCTCGTCGTTTTTATATGGACAGAGAGCCAAAAAGGGAGAAAGGCGAGCGCAGCTGTATAAGGTGCTGGGGGCGGGTGGCTAGTCTGTACACGTCATATTTTTTATTATTTTATTATTTTATTTATATTCTAACGGTTACGCATGTAGACAATATGTTTTTACAAAAATACCCCTGTACTTTATCATATTTACGATTTTTTTTTTTTTTGGTTTTTGTGTATTAGTTTCTGTTTAGGTAAAGACAAAGTTTGGGTTTAAAGATAATTATTATTTGAATTATATATTTTAATAATTAAATAACATGTATATAATAATATATAATTTCAATTCATAACTCATAGAAAAAAATAGAAATAATTAATTATTAAAATAATTGTTATGATAAATAAATATTAAAAAGAGTTAGAATGTGTGATGTCTGTATTAAAAATAATTTTTTTTTTTAATTTTATTGCCTTATATATGTGGATTGTATATTACTTATACTTCTTGTACGAAAATTTTATATTTATACACATACTAAATTTAAATAAAAATTTTGGTGAAAATTAGAATATGTTGTAATAAATTTAGCATATAGGATTAGGACATAAAAACCTACCTTTACCCTTTTTGTAGATATATATACATATATATATACATTAATTGCAAATTGACTATTTAGTTTTTAAATAAATAACTTTATATATTAGTTTTTATTTTTCCTTCCACTTACTAGCGATCTATTACAAAACTAAAAAAACATTGAATAAATTTTCTATAAAAAATGTATAATATAAGTGTATAGATATGGAAATCATACTATTTTGCAAGATAGTAGGTCTTATACCAAATTTTGCCTATGGTTTGATGTGGGTTCACTATTTTCATGATATGAGATAAAATACTTTTAAAGGTACACACGTTGATGAACTTTAAAACAATGATTATTCATGTGTTGTTTTCTATAACTAATTTTGATTACTACTATACACAAATTTTCTATATATTACATTATGTCAAAAAATACAAGTAAATTTATGGTAATCTAATAAATGTATATAAAATATTTACAATTTTTATCTAATATAAACTATATATAATTAAAGTATCACATGTACATTTTGAAAATCATAATATCATCACCTTGTGTCTTTCTACTTAATATATTAAAACATTTAAGCAACCAACGACATTTCTCCTATTTATTCCATTGTCTTATAATCTCTTTAAATTTTTGAACATTTTTAATTTTTATAACCTATAAATTACTTTTTTCCTAAATTCAAACTAGAACAAATTAATGAATATTTTAATGAGAAAAAAAAATACGCAAGTTAAAGGAGTTTATATGAAAAATTTATATATTGGTACAGACACAATATAAAAAAATATGTATTAAATCACGTGATTTTAATATAGAGCGTTGCGATGTAATAATTTTTACCTGACTAGTTATATCATTTATTGATACTATTTTTAAGAAATGCAGGCCCTATAAAACTAAAAAAAAATAAAACTTGCAGGAATCAAATATGTATCACACCAATGTCACGTGTATGAAAATACTACATCAACATCCACGTAATCACAAACCGACAATGTTAAATATTTATTGTGATTTATATTGATAGAGTGATCTAATTGCACAAAACTATAAAGTGCAAAACCGAATAAGTACAAAATATTTTGATTTTGTACAATTCTAAAAAAAAAATTTAAAAGTAAATTATTTGTCGTTTTGATAAAAAGAAAATAAATTATAAAAAAAAATTACACTTACGTAAATTATATAATATATATATATATATAACGAAGACATTTAAACAAAATTATTATCTTGTTGAAGAAAAAAAAAACCGAAAATTGACCTTTTA